ACAACAAAGACCTAGCTTCTCATCCCCTCAAATAATTTAGTGAATATGTAATTAAATTAAACTTACCCCTCTACTCTACCATAGCAATATTGAGCCTTTTTTTTTTTTTTTTTTTGTCTTTGAGAAACTATTTGTCTTCGTGCTTGTAATTGAATCCAAACTCGCGTCCCATCAATCGAAAATATCTATTGACAATACTAGTAATGCTATTTGAAATTTTAAAACATTAATGTAAGGTATATTTAAAAGCATTTCCTTTTTTTGTGACATTTTATCCATGTGTTCTTAACAAAATAAAAAGAAAATACAGCTAGGACTATATTAATTGACTTGACATTGCCACCTCAACAACCACATAAGGTGGTATAAAAATTGATTGTTGCTATTTTCACCCCCTTATTCTATTTCCACACACACCTTATTTTCCCACCCACTTTATAAACTTGAATATACACAAACCTATCTCTTCACCCACCATTATTCCTAAAATACCCTTTAATTATATTTCCATATTTACTATTACAATATAAAAAATTCTTCAATTAGCCTATCCCCACCCCAATCGCCCTCTCCCTCCCCCTCCCCATCCCCCACCTCAACCTTCTCCTCTGGCGAAAATCCAACAATCAACACCATGACCTTACAAACATTTAACTCTCCTTCTTCAACCAAAGAATAACTCTCCTTCTACTGCCAATGAAAAAAACACTCTCCTTCCTATCACCCTAAAAAAAAACTCACATTGATTGCTCTATATGTTCCAAAAAATGAAAACACATTTATTTTATTTTTAATTTCCGAGACTGCAAGAGAGGTGTTATTTGAGTTTGAAATTAAAAGGAAAGAAAGAGACAGAGGAAGAAAAGGAAATGGCCATGGGTTTTTGTCAGTTTTAGAGTTGCCCAAAAGCTCAAAGTCGATGTAATTATGGGACTACTTGAGCTTCAGAGTTAGAGAAGAAAGAAAAACGATTGGATTATGTGTGACTGAAAATAAAATTGGGGTTAACCAAGGTGGTTGGTGTGAGTGGTTCGGCACTCTCATTCCTTAAGAGAGGTCAGGGGTTCGATCCCTGCTCTTGTACGGAGTCACCACTTTGGCTAGCACTTTACCCCTTACGGGCCGACTCGGTGTGAACGGGGATTAGTCTGGGTTGTGGTTAAGGCTTAAAGGTGCCACCCATAGTTGGGGCCCATCCAGGACCACCTCGTGGTTCAGACCAAAAAATAAAATTGAGGTTATGAGTTTGTAAGTTTAGGTTTTCTTCTAGTTCCTAATTTATGAAGAACATAAGGAGAGAAAGATGTTGACTTTGTTTTGTTTGGTGGGTTGGGTATGAAGATGGGTGTGGATTTCGAACAAAAAGAAGAAGAAAAAGAAAATATGGGTGTGTGTGTGAGAGAGAGAGAGAGAGAGAGAGTTGTCCTCATAAGTCATTTTATAAATGGGTAAATTTATTTTTAAAATTTTGAAAATAAAGTGGGTGGGAAAATAGAATAGGTGGGTGGAAAAAGCAGTACTCTAAAAATGTGGTAAGAGTAGTATTATTAATAACTATTCATCTAAAACGACCTCTCATTAATTTTAATTTAGAGTTAAACCCAATTTAGAGGTGATCTTCCATTCAAATAACAACTTTACATCTACAGTTCAAGAACTATATGCCTATACTATATAAAAATATGTATATGGACTGCGCATTTTCTCTTTGTTTTCTTTTTCAATTTTAACATGTCAACTCTCCCATCCATACTCCTTAAAAACAAATCAAATAAATATTCCTATTATTGTTATCGTCTTTAAACTTAAAGCTCATCACTTCCAAATTTAATTAATACTATTTCAAAACAAACAATAATATTTACCGACTCTCTTGAAAGAAATATCCAATATTAATTTTGTATCTATATATTTTCTTAAAAAATTACAAGGCTCCACGTTAGTCGTCAGCTTCACTAGCTAGCTTGCAAGTTGATCATAGCTTATACAATCATGTGGAGTATAGGTGTTCTTTTGCAAGCACGTGGCGGGTAGCAACCCCCGCAAACCCACACTTGAATTGAATTGAATGTTATGCTGGAAGGTCTTTCATCTAGTGTCTGCTACATGTATATATAGAGAGCTTCAGCTCTGACTAAAATACCAAGATCAAAACATATACAGATTCTTAAATTGTACGCGTGCCTTTGAGTAAGAGAGACATTAATAATCTTGGCTAGCTCTTTTTTTTGTTAAGGAGTGAGAGAGATATTACTTATAAGAAGATGGTTGTGAAAGTGTATGGTCCAGTCAAGGCAGCCTGCCCTCAGAGGGTTATGGTTTGTCTTTTGGAGAAGGGAGTGAATTTCGAAATTGTTGATGTTAATCTTGAGGTGGGAGAGCAAAAGCGACCTCAATTCCTCTCCCGTCAGGTACTTTATATCTGTATGTATGTATAGAGTAATGTTCTCTTGTCATACTTATGTTTACGCAAGAAAAGCAAGGTTGTTTTGTTAATGTTACAACAATTTGTTTAGCTAATAGATATTATTTGTCTTGCAGCCGTTTGGTCAAGTTCCAGTAGTAGAAGATGGTGATTTCAGGCTATTTGGTAAGAGCCTTAATATAATCATGTACATGGTAATGGTACAGTGCTACTAATGGGTCACTATCATAACGTGTCTATTTATGACTTGCGTATCTTTTTCTTTTATGTCCAGAATCTAGGGCCATTATCAGATACTACGCAGCCAAGTACGCCGACCGTGGTCCCAACCTATTGGGAACAACCCTGGAGGAGAAGGCTCTGGTGGATCAGTGGCTGGAAGTAGAAGCTCACAATTTCAATGACTTGGTTTACACTCTGGTACTTCAACTTCTGGTGCTGCCTCGCATGGGGGAGCGTGGTGACGTGGCCTTGGTCCATGCATGTGAGGAGAAACTGGAGAAGGTGTTCGATGTTTATGAAGAAAGATTATCAAAGAGCAGCTATCTGGCTGGAGAAGCTTTCACTCTAGCTGATCTGAGCCATCTTCCTGGGATAAGATATCTGATTGATGAAGCTAAATTGGGGCATTTGGTGACTGAGAGGAAGAATGTGAATGCTTGGTGGAAAGACATATCCAACAGGCCCGCTTGGAAGAAACTAATGAGCCTTGCTAGTGACTACTAGTTATGAGATATTACCCCCCAGTATTTCATGTGGAAGAAAGAACTGAGAGAGAAAAAAAAAACAAGAGAACTTAATAAATTAATCTTCTGTTATGTGAGAAAATTATCCCAAAAAACAGGATGTTTTAAAGAGAAAAATTGGGTTGAACAACATTTTCCCTTTATGTATAATGTATGTGTGGCAAATTGATTGTCAACAAAAAGGAATAAAGGTTTTTTTTTAAAATTATTTACCCCTTAAGAATTTAATTACTTGCTTTTAGAGAGAGAGAGATATATATATATATATAATTACGTGCCCTAGGAGTGTTGTGGGGGTGGGAGCTGAATAATTCCTCCACTACTTGCTTGTCTCTTTCCACTTTTGAAGTGTGGGTGAAATACAAAGTCATGGAAAGCTGCATACGCATCATCTAGATCTGTACCCTACCTAGTGTCTGGTGATGGTGATGGCGATGGAGAGAAACTTTTCTGGCAGGGGACCAGGTCTGTTTTCTCGTTGCATATCGTAGTCCATAGCCAAGGGCGGAATCATGAATTTTTCAACAAGTGGACTAGTTAAAGTTATTAACTTAAATTTTAATGATTTTTTTTGGTACTTACAATTTCTATATTCTTTCTAGAAATAAAAGTAAACATTAAATTATATAAACCACGCTAGTTCATAGCTCCATAGACTAATTTTCAATAAGTTTTAACATAAACCAAATAGAGTTTAACATCATAGTGGATTGAACATCTAAGGCTTTTTACCTAGATTGACATTAGGTTCCTTCATGCATTCATATCATACATGAAAACTTGTTTTTATCTAAAAATATTGACTAAGTATGAAAATTGGGTTTTCGGTATAATCATTTTCTCAAGATAATTTTTGGTGGCTTTTATTCTTCTCACATCAAATAAGAAAACTTGATTTTATGGGATTTTAGTATGAAGTATATATTGACTTAATGAGCCATTGTTTTTAGCCTAAATTGTATTTTGCACTAAAACCGATTTTTCATAATTTGATTTGGTGGGAATTTGATTTTCTAGTATTTTTATTTGAATTCAAATGGGGGTACTTCCTATACAACGCCACTGACTAGGCTAATATTGAAAATCAGTTAAATATATAGATTTTATATTTTTTTTTCTTAAAAAACCACACTGGGCTACAGAATTTAGGCTTACTTGGTGGTTATCTGATCTTTATGTTGCTTAGTTGAAGTTCCAACCATGAATTGGGTGGGTGATGTATTTCATAATCTTTTGTTGCAGTTGGTTTCTGTTCATGGTTTCTAATTGAATTGTCGTTTTAAAATGCTCTTATTTTCTTGTTAAAACCAGTTGTGTTCTGTAGGCATTTTTGTTTTCAACATTTCAACAATTCTCAAGTTTGATAGAACGAAGAAGACTAGTTAGGATGCTCGAAGACATCTTGTTTGAAATCCTTGCAAGATTACCCATGAAATCTCTTTTGCGGTGCAGATGTGTTTGCCAATCTTAGAACACTTTGATTAGCAGCCCTGATTTCATAAACGCCCATCTCAAAATAAGTGTCATGAAAAAAGCTGTGATTATTGACTTATACACACCCGCACAAGAAATTGCTTTTCACTCTGTTGTTGCTGAAACATTTTCCAAGTGTCTGGATTTAAGGGTTCCTGCGCACGAAAGTGTTTTATGTCGTTAATGATTCTTGCAATGGATTGCTATGCCTCTCTAGTTGTCGTTCTATATATCTATGGAATCCCTCAATCAGAAAAATCAAGAGGCTTCCCATAGGCGTCATTCAAGCTTACAAAACCTTTGCTCTCGGGTTCGGGTTTCACCGTGGCGAAAATGACTATAAGGTTGTGAGGGTGATGGTGTTTAGACCCAAAGAAACTATGTTTGAGGTTGAGGTTTACAACCTTAGACTGAATGCTTGGAGAAAAATTAGCGTAGTTCCTCCTGATGTTAGTGTTTCCAAAGTCGAATGTGTATTCTTGAATGGAGTTGTGTATTGGAGTACAATGGACCCTTCTCAACATTCCACTTTCATTCTTTCTTTTGATTTTGGAAGTGAGGAGTTTAAAAGGATCATGTTACCTCGTGCAGCACCCGCAGTTTTCGAACAAACTCCAATTCGAGTGTTTGAGAACTCACTTTCATTCTTCCACCGAAGACATGATGAGCAACTGGGCTGGTTTTATGAGTTATGGATTCTTGAAATGTGTACTTGGAAAAAGACCCACACGATTCTTCTCCCCACAAGGGTATATGTATCATGTTCACTGGGGTTCACAGTAAATGGCAGATTTCTTATGGTTGTGCCAGGTACTTTTCCGGAAGAATCAAATTTGGTTTTATATGATCCCCAGTCACAGCAACCCAGCAATACCGGAATCAAAATGATGAAGCCTTGTGGGTATGTGACTATGTCGATGCTTATTGAGAGTTTAATTTTACTCAACTGAATTCTATGCTTAAGCAAATTTTTGTGAGTTGTATGTTTCAAGTTCCATTTTACAATTAGGTAGTTATTTATAACTTATACCTGCCTTTGATTGAATATGGATTCAACAGTTCCATTCTAGAATTTGTGTTTGGCATAATCTTGCCCCTTGGCGTGTGTGTCACTGTCAATTGGCCTTTTGTTTTTGTTTTTTTCCCATTCTAGAATAATAACATAAGTATATTTATTATCGCCCCTAGAAAAGGTTCTGGGTTCAAGTCTTAGCATAATAGCATCCATGTAGTGTGTGTGAGTTTAGTATATTATCGCCCATTCTTTATTATAAAAAAAAAAGTGATTTTCTAAGAAAGATGTGTTGACTTTTTTGTCCAATTTGTACATGGGTTTTGTGGCTTTTAAGAATACATTTCTTGTTGCAATTTATATACAGAAAATTTCATTTAAGAAATCCCTCAAATAAGCTTATTTAAGCGTTAAATAAGACTGAGGTCATGATTCATGACCACTTGTGCGTCTCTTCTTCGCTTTATTTGATACTTGAGGGTGCACATGTTAATGCCAAACAGAAATGCCTACATAACTCAAACTGATTTTAACAAGAAAATACAAAGCATTGCAAAATGGCAACTCCAGATGCCACAACCAGAAACCCACCTCATCAAAAGCTCATGAAACACAATGCAATTCTGGCACACTTCAACTTAGGGATATAATCATATATTCAAGAAGTAAATGGAAATTCCAGACACCTAAGTAGAAATCCACCTCAACAAAAGCTCATGAATCACAGAAAAACACAACTTACTCTATACGGTTATGGGCACGCACTCTTACCGTTGTTTCAATAACATTGCTAAGAACACCAAAAGCTTTCCGCTATCTTACTCCTATCAAAGACATGCCAAACCACCCAAAACATATCTATTAAAGACATTATGGCTGCCCTGCCATGACCATCATGGCCATGGTTGCATCACCAGAAGAGAAGAGTGCAAGGATTTTGGTTCTTCAAGTTCTTTTCAAGGAATATTCATTAAAAGCTAACTGTCAAATGTCTAAAACAGATCTATCAAATACATGAATATCAGTCCTCAAGCTCCAAATCAGTCACCAATTTACATCTAACATATGACTCGTCATTATGTGACACCAAAAACAGAATTCACTACACACATGTATAACTGGAACTCAGAACTCAGAACTAGAAATTCAGTTGAGTAAAATTAGACTCTCACTATAAGCATCGACAAACTGAGAGTGATAACTCAAGCTGATTCCGGTATCCTTAGCTCTCCGCAACACAGGATCACATAAAACCAAAATTGGGTCACGTTGCATATTTCGAACATGCCTAACCAAATGAAATTTGTTATCTGTTCTAATCCCCAATGGCCATGCTACAGATTCACATCTTGGAAGAAGAATTGTGCGGTTCATTGTCCAAGTATCTGCTTCCACAACCCATATGTCACAGTACCAAACTTTGTCATCTTCTCTTTGATGGAACAAAGAAAGCGATTCTTCAAACACTTGAACAGTAGGTACGGACGCCACTCCGAACAATATATCTGGAAGCATAATCTTTTGAAAAACCTCACTGTCCAGATCAAATGAAACAATGGAAGTGCAATGTTGAGAAGGCTCCACTGTAATCCAATACAAAAATCCATTGAAGAATAAACACTTGGGTTGAGGAAAACGGGCTTGTTGTGAAACAGGCGGAGTTGCAGTAATTCTTCTCCAAGTATCCAATCTAAGGCTGTAAACCTCAACTGCAAAGAAATCTTTCTTGCGTGGAAACCTCACAACCCTCACAACCTTATAGTCATCCCCCCTCTCATGAAACCCAAACCCAAGAGTAACAAAATGGGCAGTTTGCAGGATGTGGCAATCGGGAAGTTTTTTGAATACTCTGATTGATGGATTCAACAGATATATAGGACTTGCCAAATTCACACGCCAAGTAGCAGAGATGCAAAGCACCCCATTGCAAGAACCATAAACTGCATATGAGACATGTTTGGGCCTAGGAAGCTCTAGATCAAAACACTTTGTAAATTCTTCAGCATCATAGACTGAGAAGCCACTTACATCATACCCAGTGTGGATAACTAGATAATCACGTGAATTTTTCAAGACATTTCTTTTAAGATGGGCGTTCATGAAATCAGGGTTGCTAATTAAACTCTTCCAAGATTTGCAAACACATCTGCACCGCAAAAGTGATTTCACACTCAGTCTTGTAAAGATTTCAAACAAGATCTCTTGGGGAAAGTCATCTATCTTGCTCACTTGTGCGTCTCTTCTTCTCTTTCTTTGATACTCGAGGTTAAACATGTTGATGCCAAACAAAAATCTCTACAGAACTCAACTGATTTTAACAAGAAAATACAGAGCATTCCAAAATGGCAAATCCAGATGCCATAACCAGAAACCCACCTCAACAGAAGCTCATGAAACACAATCCAACTCTTGCACACTTTAACTAAGGAATATATTCAGATATCCAAGAAGTAAATGGCAAATCCAGACGCCATAACCAGAAACCCACCTCAACAAAAGCTCATGAAACACAATACAATTCTTGCACCACTTCAACTAAGGAATATAATCAATCATAAAACCAAGAAGTAAAGCGTACCTCATTTGTGCCAATAGGTGAACTCAAAATCGAAACCTTGTTACTCAATCAAACAAATGCGGGAATTCAAGACACGCTCAACTCAATCGTCCATGCCACAAAGAAAAGAACCATAAATCTATTCCCTCTCCTCTCTCATGGCGGCTTGGCTTCGTTCACAACTGACCTTAGTTTGCCTCTTGAGTTTTCGGGTCTCGTTTCTTTGGGTTTTGCTGGTATGATTCTTAAGCGTCTGGATATTAATTTGAGCTTTTTGTTTTTCTTTCTTGGAGTGGAGGTTGGCTTATTAGTACTTGGGTTTCATTTCATGCACTTCCCTTCCAAAGCTTTAAAACGGGGCCGTTTTGCAGCAAAGACTGACGTCTTCTATTCTAACAGGAAAAACAAAGGATAAGGCTACGAGTGAAATTGCCAAGCAAAGTTTCCAATTTCGCCTCTTGTGTTGTTGGATTTTTGTTTTCTCATTCTTGTCTTTTGGTTTTTTTTTCTTAAAGCTTTTTCCCTTCTTGCCCACATCTAGGGCTGTAAATCAGCACTATCTTTGAGTATGTAATTGGCTAGGAATAATCAAACAGTGTTATCCCCGTTTCCCACAAGATTTTCTGCTACCGACATCCTTGAATGGTTGAATGTTGATATGGGCCATATGGCAACATGGACCCTCTATGCTTCTCTGCTTTCAATAGAAGGGGCAGACAACAGGTGTAGTGAAAGTTGAAATTAAGTTGAATCACAAAACAATGTCACAGCTTTGAAGTGGAATCATATAACCCTTTAATTTTATAAATTCTTGCTGCAATAATACATATAATAATATACAAATTTATGCTTTACACAGATTCTTTTTTTCTCTCGATATGCAATTCTAGACTTTTGATGTCAAAGAATCAGTTTTCTGAGCTCTAGTTGAATAAGAGGAGGTTCTTGATGGGCGAATGAGGGATTTAGTATATGAAATAGGCAAAGCAAGTAATTTCTTAGCTTTGCTTACATAAGCCCTTCTTGTGAAGTTGTTGTAATCGTTAGCTTCTATCTCATCCAATATTTGGCGATATAGAAGTAGGGAAGCCCATACCTGCAACAGGTGAACATTTTGATCAGAAGGGTCAAATTTTGTTGGTCTCTCTAACATGACTTTTCCTTTTAACTAAAAAGACAGAAGTAAGGAATCCGGAATTTAGATAAACATCTTAATGATTGTACACGTGTCATAATTTGGGTGAATTCCATATACCATGTAGGCATCTCAAGTGGTGTATCGGACACACAATAATTATTCGTGAATGGTCAATTAAAATCATATAGGACATCATATCTTTGTGAGCATTTGTTCCATATTTAGTACTAAAACATGTGAGGCTTACCGGCCATCTGCTGGCTTCACTCAACTCTGTCACACCCTTCTCTGCCTCGTCGAAGAACATCCTTGCCCTCTTAATTTGATTCTTCATGAAACTCCTCCACTTGTCTGTGACCTTTCCAGCATATATGTCAGAATCAGAAAGCCCTGCTTGTTCAAGTTCATCTTGTGGCAAATAAATTCTTCCTCTCCTTGCACTGGTCAAGAAAATGCTTATAAGTGGGATACAAAATGAATGAAAGCGTGAGCTCTAATGATAGAGTAAATTCCAATAGTAGATGACATCCCATGTGATCTTAAACAAAAGCAAAGTATTTACAAAGGGGAAAAACCAGCTCCTGCACAATTCAAAGTATACATATACTCCACCCTAGTTGACTTTTCCATTCTTCATTTTAAATTTCTCTCGTGTAATTTTTTCCGAGTGCTATTTGTTCTTTAATGCTATCAAGAGAGAGAGAGAATGACGTCTGTTAAAAGATTTCATTAGCAACTTCATCTCTTCTGTTGCTTTTATTCAACTAGAGCTTAGAGAATTGTATCTTGGAGTCTTAAGTGACTTTCAAAAGCAAGAACTGAAAAATCAGACTCAGGGTCAGCTATAATTGGATAGCCTACCAGTGAGTTATAGGCCAGCTAAAATTGGATAGCCTACCATTGAATTATAAGCCAGCTTTACTCTATAGTTTTGGGCACTGCTGTTTCAATAACATTGCTAATATGATTGAAAAAATTCAGCATATAAATCATTAATGCTGTTTACTTACTCCTCCCCAACATCCCTGAGAATGTTTGTGAGCTGATTCGCAATCCCTAACGCCAAGGCAGCATTATATACATTCTCCGTTGTTGCTTGCGATTCAGGTGAAATGCCCATAACTGGAACACTCATTAATCCAACAGTCCCAGCAACATAATAGCAGTAGAGATATAGTTCATCAAAGTTTTGGTATATTGACTTCCTAAGGTCCATTCTCATTCCTTCTATCATATCTTTGAA